TCATACAATCTCCTTCTAGCTAGGTCGCCCATGGATCCATGAGAACGGTGTAATTCTTTCAACGTTCGAATATTTGAAGAATTAGATATTTAATTTTGAATTAAATTCTTTAATTATACTTACTTCAAATTGCAAGTGAAGAATCAGAGGATTCATATTTAGAGATTGTACCTGATATTTTCATATAATAATATTTGCGATCAATTTTAAGTACATACTTAAAATTTGTTTCACACGCACGAATCCTTTTTAGTTTTTTGCGGGCCCCTAGTTTTTAACTTAAAATACCTAAATACTTTTACAGCCAAAGAGGTTGTTAGAATCATTTATAAAGAAGACATAACTAGTGAAATGCAATTGATTTGTGAATAATATCAAAGACACCATTAATATAGTATCAAAACATGTCAACATTTATAGTAGGACGGTGGGAGAACAACTATAAAGACGGTTTTACTTCGATCGAGGCTATAGTGTAAACCACGCTTATACCGTTTGATAATGTAACAGTTCAGGATAGTTTAATATCATCATGTTTTACAACACATTAATCGGTTTGATACCATTAAAGTTTGATCGAATACAATTCCTTTTCAGTTTTTTGCATGACCCTAGTTTTAAACTTAAAATACCCAAATACTTTGAGAGAATTCCCTAAATAGGAGTAAAAATGTTTTAAAATTCCAAAATAGGAGTATCATGTCTTTTATTCCTTGAATAGGAGTAAATTTCTCCAAGGTTGGCATTACATGGCTTTTAACATGGCATTTTTTTCCCAAACTTGGCAGATTACTCATATTCAGAGAACAAAAAACATGATACTCCTATTTTGGAATTTCAAAACGTTTTTACTCCTATTTAGGGCAATTTCTGAAATACTTTTCACTACCAACTTTTACTTTACACTACTAACTTTTACTATTAACTACTTGATTCCAAATCACTTTAAAAAGTTCAAAAAGAACTTGTGAAATGCAAACAAAGCATGAATACGATTCCTTTTCAATTTTTTGCCTGCCCCTAGTTTTTAAATTAAAATACCTAAATACTTTTACTGCCAAGGAAGTTAGAATCACTTATATAAAAGACATAACAAGTGAAATACAATTGATTTGTGAAGAATATAAAAGAGACCATTAATATAATATCAAAACACAACCAACATTTGTAGTAGGACGGTGGGAGAACAACTATAAGGGTCTCGATCCCATTAAAGACATAAATATCAAGGAGAGTGTTAGAATCATTTGAAATGCAATTGATTTGTGAATAATATATAAAAGATCTCATGAATATAATATCAAAACATGTCAAACATTTGTAGTAGGACGGTGAGAGAACAACTATAATGGCGGTTTTACTTCAATCAAGGTCATAGAGTAGACCACGCTCATCTCGTTTCATAACGTAACAATTCATGATCGTTGAATAACATCATGTTTTACAACACGTCAATCGGTTTGAATTGATACCATTAAAGTTCAATCCAATTCGATTACTTTTTAGCTTTTTACATGCCCTAGTTTTTAACTGAAAATACCTAAATACTTTTACTTTTAACATTTTTCATTCTTTCTTTCATACGTTTTCATAATCTCACATATTTTTTACACCGTTTTATGTTATCTATTATTCATGTTAATTCAGCCTCAAGTTGCTACAAATGTTTATGATATATGTATCTAATAGTCAATTCCTCAAGTGTTAAATTAGTGCATGCATAATTACACTCAAAAGTAGATAACGCAAATTTTCTATTGATATTTTTGTACATGCATAAGTACACTCAAAAGTAGATAACGATGTTTTTATATTAATAACGTATCTGCCCACTATTGGACTACGAGAAATGTGATGCATAACAAGATTAATAATAGAGCCTTTCAAAAGCTAACATAATTAAATAAGTGCAGTTCTACTAGCTAGGTCACGTTTATTTGGCATGAAAATCCAACAGAAAGGAGGGCAGGGCGTAAGAAAGATGATCATCTCAAAAGAAGAGGAGCAGGCATCAAAACTTAATCACCAAAACATGCAACGACATAGTAAGCTTACGCATTAAAATTAAAAGTCGTTTCTACGTGTAAAGAGACACAATTTTTTGGTAGATCAATTTTGTAAATAAAAAAATTTATGAAAATTTGGTGTAAGTTAAGTAACAATGCTCTACCATATATTTGTAGTCTTTTATTCTTTAAAGTTAAAAGTACTACATTTTTTCTTTTTTTCTTTTTTGGTAAACTTTCATAATCGGTTGTTTAAAGTACTATATACATACCTTTATATTTATAAAAATAAACTACATAGACAATTATAGATACACAGATTTTTCAAAATTGATGTAAAATATAGGCGAAATTCTAAAATGTGATTAAACATATTATCTGTTAAAAATATGACTTATTTAGTTCTATTGAAAGAAGAAAAGAATAAAAGAATAAAAACTTTCTTAAATAAGAGTTCCCGAGTCTTATTTTGAAAAATAATAATAGCATTCTTATTTGAAAAAATTTGTTACTTCGTATGTTCTACTCCCATTTATGGAATTTAAGCTCAAAACAGGATCCAAACAAAGGGAATATTCTAAAACAGAACCAAGTGTGTTTTCTTTTAAATTATAATAAGAGTGATATATTATTCCAATTAAAATAATTGAAGAATAAAAACTTCCCTAAATAGCAGTATGTGAGTCCTATTTTGGGGAGAAAACAATTCAACTCCTTTTCGAGAATATTTGCAAATGGTTTAATTGTACATTCGGAAATTTTTCTAAATTATATAGGCAATAAATTCAGAACTTATTCTGGGGGGTGTCCTGAAGTATGTAAAACTAATAAGATTTTTGTGAAATAAAATGTAATTATTACACGATAACAAATTTATTCATTTGTCAAATATAAGAGCGAATTCTAGAATTAGGAGTGCAAATAATGTATAATTCTAAAACATGAGTACTATGTCTTTCGGGAGGTATTGGTCTAGTCTCCCTCTTCATCTGTTTTTTCTTCATCAAAATTAATAAAATCTGGCAAATGTTCTCTGGCATTTGTCCCACTGATTTTGGTGGTTTGCCTTCCTGGATAAAAAAATGAGTACTATAATATGTTTCTCTTACCTAAATAGGACTACATGTCATCTACCCTTGAAAGTTTACAACAATACTTTGGCACTATTAGATTTTAAGTATGACAATACCTCTATAATTGGAAGTATTTTCTATGTTCGACAATTATTATTTCTACATGGGGAATAAAACACATGCACAATACTCCTATTTTAGAATTTTGAAATGTGTTTACTCTTATTTAAGACTAGTTATTTAAATACAAAGGACTTCACCAATTCAACAGGAAAAATAGTTTTATTATTGCATCAATTTTAAACATATGGCGTTACTTCATATGTGCATACACATAAAAATTAAATTCGAAATCCAAAATTGACGCCAATTGCATATGGCTAAAAACCTAAAACCATCTATATACTTCGATAGTATAATGATAACTAATACGAAGTATAAGGGATGCAGTATTTCACCCAATTAATACGAGACTAGCTAATTGCTAGAATATAGAGAAGCTTGAACAAAACTCATAACTATCAATTGTAGTTAATGGAATGGCATTTTTTTCTTTCAAATATTAAAGTAACTATAACACAGGTCGTATCTTTCTTAAAATGTTATTAATGGAATGGCAATTGTAGTCATTGTATAATTTACCCATGCAGCTAACGTTATGTTGCTAATTTATTGAGGCTTACAACGTAACTTTAATTTATAAGTTTGTTATAGGTTATCAGTAAGTTACCACATACATCCTCATCACTTTTTTTCATATCAAATTCAATACTTATGAAATCTATCTGAGGGCCTCGAGTCCATTAATTAAAGTATCCCGATATGGTAATACATTAATCATTATTATGTATTGAAATTCCAGCACAATACAACTCTTTATGTTCCACGATCAGGGGCGGATGTGGAGGGGTGACCAACCGGGCCACGGTTCAGTCCAAATTTTAAAATTGCTTATATTTTTAATGTAAAAAATTATGTGATGAACACTTCAGGCAACCATGTTGTTTATCAGATTTTTCAGTTTGAACAGGTTTGTGCACACCATTACTTCAGGCAACCATGTTGTTTATCTTTATGCCATAATAACTTCATTTTTTATTTTTTTATTATACTATTTTGTCAATAAACACTTCTATCATTATATATATAACTTCATTTGTGAACACTTCTATCATTATATATATACTTCTATTTACATCCTTCCGGATTTTATTGCTATCGAAAGATTGAGATAAAATTATTGGAAAAAATAATTTAAATACCACAAATTATTGATTAGTATGAACAAAGTAAACGTCAATTAAATTAAATATGTTAATAGTAAAAGTCGTGTGACATAGAAATCCAAAGAAATCTTTATAAAAACAGCTTGATCAAACTTTCCTAAATAAGTGATATGGCCGGTAGGAGCTTCAAGATTTATTTTCAAGAATTATCACTTGGTTATGTCCTAAATTTCCCAAGTAGATACATTTTGAGTCTTTGGGCATGTTTGGCACAACTAGCTGAAAAGATACTTTTGTTAGCTTTTTAATAGCTGTTAGCTTTTAGTAACTGAAAAGATCTTAAAAAGAAAAGGTGGTAGCTGTTTGATAAAAAGCTGACTGTTTGATTTAGTTCGGTTTGGTATACAAGTTGTTAGGATTAATTAATACTAAAAGTCACTAGCTTTTCTTAGATGCTACTCCCGGTAGCATCTCAAAAAAGATCTTTTAATTTTTGAAAAGCTCTTAAATATTGTCATGCCAAACACACAACTAGAAGCTTTTAGGAACTTTTTGAACAGTACAAAAGCTAGAAGTCATGGACTTATGTCCGCCAAACATAGCCTTTGACAAGTCAAGATGTCTTTTTTTCCTCTCTCTATATATGCTTTGGGAAAAAGACTCCAATAGGATTAAAACATGGGCTTGGTATACGGATAAGAGCTCCTACTTTTTTAACCCTAAATAAGACTTATTTGCACCTGGACGGACAAAAATAACCCCAACCCCCTTACTCAATCGGGATCCACCGACTTCGGCCGTATTCCGTCGTCTCTGCCTCACGTACTCCACCTTCTCTGTAGAGATTCACCCTGGCCGAAGCCATCCTTTTCGTCGACCTCCAGTTGGACACTCCAATTTTTTGGGTGTTAACCGCCGGTCTGCTGCTAATCATCGCCATAATATATGCCGCTGGTCGTCGTTCGGTGAAGTTGTTGATGCCCAGATCTATTTGCTTTCTTCATCTGTTTTGATTTTCCATTCTTTGCGTGAATTGCAAATGCCCAGATCCATTTGTTTTCTTCTTTTTCGATTTCCCTTTCTTCTTCGTTTTTTTGTTTCCTTTGTTTTTTGTTGTTTTGAATTTCCATTCTTTGTTTCTCTCTATTCTCATTTGGTTTTCCTTTCTCTTTTTGTTCACTTTTTCTATTTTCATTTACTATGTAGTAGCAGATTCTAGATTCGTTTATACTTAATTTCCTTAGAAGGATGATGTTTTAGCCAAAATAAGCTAAACTCAGAATAATAATTAGATGGGAATCGTACAAATACGAATTATGGGGATTTGATCAAGAACCGAAATAATCCAAAGAATGAACAATCAGTAAGTAGTATTTGCTTGGATCTTCATGAATATGTGTGAAGGATAAAAACAGTGTGTCCTCCCTTACAAGAGCTCATTCGTATATATATACATCAAGTCTAGAATTACTTGGATTTGCTCAGCCGTTTCCAAGTGGAATATCGGCCAAGAGTTCAAATTCATAACGATGACATTCTTTTCGGACACCCGTCATCATCATGAATTGGGGGCAATTGTTGGGCCCGGAAATTACTTAGCAAATTGGGCCAACGTACCTTCTAAGCAGCCATGAGAAGCCCATCGGCGGGGGTGGTCAATGTGCCATCCAACTAAAAATGGAAAGAATATTTGAAAGAAAGAGAAGTCCAAGACTTGGGGGAGAAGGCTCCTACCTTCCCTAATTAAGTGAGACATATATGGAAAGAGCATATCTCATGCATCGTACAAGGATTATTATCATTATACTATTATTACCTACTTTAATGATGATGATTCACATTCCTTATATAATTCTAGACTTGATGTATATATATACGAATGAGCTCTTGTAAGGGAGGACACACTGTTTTTATCCTTGACACATATTCATGAAGATCCAAGCAAATACTACTTACTGATTGTTCATTCTTTGGATTATTTCGGTTCTTGATCAAATCCCCATAATTCGTATTTGTACGATTCCCATCTAATTATTATTCTGAGTTTAGCTTATTTTGGCTAAAAAAATTTGGCGCCGTCTGTGGGAAATTCGTGCAAAAAAGAATAGATCATGGCCGAAAGCTCTAACGCCTCTAGCAAAATCGATCTACAGTAATCTCTCTTCCCATCCTAGAGAACACCAAATCGATCTTCTGAGTTTCATAACTAGGATGGGAAGAGAGATTACTGTAGATCGATTTCGTCGAATTAATCTTCGAACCAGAGAAGTCCAGACCTGCTGCCACTCACATCAGTCGGCGTTCTACACTTCGCCGGAATGTTGAATCGGCTAATTCGTCGGAAAGCTCGATTCCAAGTCTAGCCCTGCGCGGCTGCGCCATCTGGCATCCCCGTGTCTGCTGGCTGAGTCGCGGTCTTCTTATTTTCAGGTATGTATTTTACTTTTAGCTTTATTTATGTTGTATTTTATTTAGTTAGGATTTATGCCTCTATCTAGAATATGAGAGTTTTGTTGTGATTTGTGAATTTAGAAAGATTGCTCCCTAGACTTTTGGAGTTTAATTTTTGTGGAGTTGCTGTTGTGAATTCTAAATTCAACTTTAGTTTGAGGAATTGTGATCTGTTATTTCATGTGAATATTGTTGTTTGTTTTAGTTCAGATTTAGAGCTGTAGTTCGATAGAGTTCTAGTGCTTATAAATTGTGAATTCTGAATTCTGGAATATGAAGATAGAGGGACTTAATGAATTGTGTGGAAAGTGCACCTTAAAAGGAAGAAATGAGAAGAATCTAAGCAGGTACATGGCGGGATCAACAGTGTAGCTGGAGGATGTCTCAAGTGAAACCATCATGTCGGAGCTCCTCCGCCATCTTAAGTGTTCCACCAAGCCTGACAAGCGCCTCATTCTCATCAGCCCACCTGAATCTGGAAAAGGTACTCAGTCACCCATCATTAAGGATGAGTACTGTTTATGCCATTTGGCCACCGGTGACATGCTTAGAGCTGCTGTTGCTGCCAAAACTCCTCTTGAAATTAAGGCCAAGGAAGCCATGGACAAGGGTGAACTTGTTTCGGATGACTTAGTTATTGGGATCATTGATGAAGCAATGAAGAAACCCTCATGCCAAAAAGGGTTCATTCTTGATGGCTTTCCCAGGACAGTGGTTCAAGCAAAAAAGCTAGATGGAATGCTTCAGAAGCAGGGTGCCAAAGTGGACAAAGTATATATTGAATTTTGCAATTGATGATGCTATTCTCGAAGAGAGGATTACTGGTTGATGGATTCACCCTTCAAGTGGAAGAACTTATCACACAAAGTTTGCACCACCTTAAGTTCGTGGAGTTGATGATGTCACTGGAAAACCTCTAATTCAACCTAAAGATGATATTGATGCTGTTCTCAAGTCCAGGCTCGAGGCTTTTCACTGCCAAACAGAACCAGTTGTAGATTATTATCCAAAGAAGGGTGTTGTTGCTAGCTTACATGCTGAAAAACAACCAAAGGATGTTCCAACAAAAGTTCAGAAAGTTTTATCCTCCTAGAGAAGAAGCTCATAACAAAACCTGCCTTCGTCTGCTTGTTGTTTGTCTCGGACTAATGATCATTGGAAGGACAGTGTCTATCTTTTTTAGTTCTTTTTGTTGTTTATCCCAGCAAATTGTCAACTTCTGATGAGTTAGCAGAAGTGCACCAGTGTAGGAATTTTTGCTAAATAATTTAAGATCACCTCTGAAAAAAAGAGAAGAATCTAAGCCACATGATGTAATAGATAAATGTAATAAATTGAAATAATAGATTGAATTGTGTATTATTGTGATAGTTCTATTTGTTATTTTTTTGTTTCTTTTTGTTATATCACATATGTTGTTTTTTGTTTCATCATGTTGCTTTTTATTGCATTATGTTTTTTTGCATCATTTTGCTTATCGTTTTTTTTATTGTTGATTATGACCTTTATTGTGTATTTAGGTTTATGTTTAACCCTCCAGCTTACTCATTTGGAATAAAAATCATATAATTATATATATATATATATATATATATATATATATATTATATACAGACACTTAAACTGAAAATTTTGAAATGATTAATTTCAGCAACAACAAGATACATGCAGAAACACATGTTGAAACAATAAGAAACAAAACTAAATAATATCCTAGAAAAGTAAAAAAAAAACAAATAATGATGATTTTAGCGCCATTCAATTTTTAGATAATATTTAGTATTATTTCTTATAATTTTTTTATTTTTTATTTTTATATTCATTTAAATTCTTATGTACTCAATTGTGTTTTTAATCATTTTTAGTCTTTCAAAAAAACATTTTAGTTTTCTAAAAACAATTTCTCTTTTAACTTTCTAATTATTTTCATAATTTTTAAAAGTTTCAAAAATATTTTTATTTTTATTTTTATTTTTAAATTAGTTCAAATAATTTTTGAAATGAATATAACTTTTTAAGCATATTAATTTTTAAATTTGTTAAAATTTATGCCAAATTATGAAATTTATTATTTTTACATTTTTTTACATGTTTATTACATCCCTTTTTTATTAATTTTATAAAAAAATCATATTTTTTATAATTTTAACTTTTAAAAAATATAAAAAACTTTTAAATATTGTTTATATAAAAGCACATAATATATTCACTTCTTTAAAAAAAAAATTACATAGTTTTTAGTTGTCCCACTAACTTTGCTTCTTAAAACTTTGTCTACTTTTTTGTACGTAGTTGTCCCACTAGTTTTGATACTTTCTCTTTTAGTAAAGAATTTGTAATTCAAGTTAATTCATTCTTCTTTGTACAAACTTCAATCAAACAGTTTTTACTTTAATAATTTATATGCCGGTCAAACTTGGCCAAATTTTAAGGGACGGAGGGAGTATCTTTTTACAATTTTCCCACATGTTAAACTATTTTAAACTTTTTCCTATTAATTTTCAAGTTTTTTATTTTTAATTCTCTATATATATTTTTAAATTTTGTTATTTATTTCTAATATTTTAATTCTTTTTTTATTTTTAAAATTTAGTTTGAATCTCAAACTTCGAAATCTATGTTAACCTTTTGTTCTTGCTTTGAGAATTTTTTTATTTTCTTTAGATTTTTATTTCTTTTCTATTTGTTTTGAACTTCTTATATTTAATAAAATTTTACTTTTTTCCTAGTTACAAAAAAGAATTGTGTAATTATTGCTTACCGAAGATGCTAGAGAAAGAGATTTGTACGCATACGGTATACTCCCTCCGTCCCCTTTTAAATGTCCCGTTTTACCATATTGGGATGTTCCTATTTAATTGCCCCATACCTTATTTGGTAAACTTTGTGTGGCTCAAAATCATTCTTACTTTATTCTTACTTTATCAATTAATATCAACCACACAAACTCACTTTTCTTAAAACTCGTGTCGCCATCTCCCGTCCCATTTAAAAGGGGACGGCGGGAGTATCCCTTAAGAGTCAAGAGCTATTATATACTCCGTATGAAGTACGGATATATTAGTGCAGGAGCAGTAGCCGTTTCGGAGGAGCAATAGTTGTACTGCCGTACATAGTCTATTTGTGAAAGGAAGAGTTTAGTTAGACTATAGGAGTATTTGAAATAACTCTCAAAAGTGAAAAATACTCATATTATTTTCCTTATTAGGTACGTTCGCGAAAATTTCCCCTTTTTTACAAGGAAAAATCTGTTTGTACCCACTATTGTACCCATTTTTGCACCCACCATGTCTGTGAGGAGATTTTTTTTGTCTGTGAATCCCGATCATAGACAAAAATATGTCTATGAAGACATGATGGGTACAAAAGTGAGTACAATAGTGGGTACAACAAGAAGAATCCTTTTTACAAACAGGGGCGTAGTTAGGAGAGAGCCAGCCTTGGCTCTTGCCGGGCCCAAATTTTAAAAATATCTATGTTTTAGTGTAAAAAATTATTTGTAAAAAAAATTCAAAAATATGTTTTGTACCGGCCTAGCTCAGCCCAGTGTCTTGGCTCCGCCCCTGATTACAAACTCATTTGTTAACACATGCATACACATGTATTTATTATAGATTTTGTTTTTTAAATGTAACGTTACCAAGAAAAATAAGAATGCCTCATTTATACCCACCCCTATTTTGTGGTGTAAATTGAACAATTCATTTACGTGGGACAACTTATTTATATGATGGGCTTTTGTGAACCACATAATAGGTGAGGTACAGATAGGGTAATCAAAAGGAGTACACCAAGCATAGCTTTGTTTCTAATTCATTAACGGCCTCCCAAATTTCAAAGAGCAATAAAGTAAAGGGGAAATTGTCCATTTGGTCCTCATACTATCACGAAAAAGTTAATTAGATCCTCGTACTTTTAAAAAAATCAATCAAATCCCCGAACTTTGTAAAAACGTTTAATTGAGTCCATTTACAGGTTACTTGCCATGTCAGTTGGACACCCGATGACATGTCGCATGTGTGGCGGTTCTTGTGTGCGCCACGTCATCAGCAAATGGCTGATTGGAATTCCACACGAGCGCCACATCAGCAAACTCACTACTAATTGGGTTGCCACATGTGTGCCACATCAGCAAGTGACTTGTTGACATGACAAGTAAACTCAAAATGGACTCAATTGAATTTTTTTACAAAGTTAAGAGATTTGATTGATTTTTAAAAAAGTACAGGAATGTAATTGAATTTTTCGTAATTGAATTTTTCCCAAGTAAAAAGCTTCTCCCGCTAATTAAACGAAAGCGCCGGGTCCAAATGATTTTGGTTGAGGTTAAGTCTAAATTTTATCGGGTTTGAAACTTTGAAATGATTCAATCACATGTTTAATTTTTATCAGTTTGATGTGTATAAACTATTTACGTACCTTTCGTACATTGAACTCCATATGGCAGAGTTAGTTTTGATTGGTTCCAATTTTGTTTGATTTTATCAATTCAGTTTTTGTGGCTTAGCAATCATTTTCAGTTGGTCATTTTAGTTTTAGTTCTTGGAAAAAACATTTAAAATGTCATTCAATTCACACTAAGAGTGGTATATGTATAGTCCATTTGTTTGTTGCCTTTCTTGCTTGGGATCGACTAATAATGAAAGACAAAATTCATCAGAATAATATACTCTTAGTGGTTCCAGAATAAAAAACCATACTGAAAATGTTCATCAAAATATGAATTAGTCATAGTATCCACAAAAAGAAATTGGGTAAATTCAAACTAATCCTCATTTAATACTCTCAATCCCTATTCATACTTTTCTCTTCCCCGTTCTTCTTATCATGGTGAATTCAAGCTAAAACCTATTTAATTTAACGCCATTTTCGCTATAGGTGGTTCTCTCTAGGTTGGAATACCCGAGATGAAGAGTGGTGAAGGAGACGGTGGAGGTAGGAGTTAGTAGTACTAAACGGGTTTTAGTTTGAATTCAACTAAATTTGTTCTTGTGAACACTATTGCTAGTTCAAATTATTTTATAAATACTTTCATTATGGATTATTATTGTAGAATCTTTGAAAGTATATATGAATTATTCTTGTGAATTTCACCATAATGAAAACGATCAAAAATTACATCAATTATATTTTTGATTGGATTAATCTCAATGTTAGATTAAATCGGACTAAATCATGCTTAAACAAATCAGATCTAATCAAATTAGACTAGATCAGTTCTTATTGAATCAGACATGACTTCAACGATTTTAAAATATGTACTATCGTACATAAAATTACATTTATCATATCAGACTTCACTCCATCATGAGATGCTAATCATCATGACCAAAAGGACCCAATCGAATTGACAAACGTCAACAGTTGAATACGTGAAGAGTCATTTTCAGTTACGGTTTCATGTTTTATACTTGTTGCCCCTAAAAAACATGATACACATGAACAATTATTAGTAATTGCCCCATATAGGACTAAAAGATGGGGAAATTCTTAAATAAGATCATGTATCATTTTTCCCCAAATAGGACTATTTTACTCCTATTCTAAAACATTCGTATATTTCATTCCACTATTACCCCCCTTTTCCATTTACGCAGATCTCTCAATGCCTTACGCTCAACCCGGCCATTTCCTCATCCTCCTGTGCACATCTTTCCCTTTCTTCCCAGCGCTGCTCATCGATCGACTTCACCCTAGCCATTGCCGCCGCCGTCGACTTCGCCTTGCACACTAGATCAATCGACTTCTCACGCCGCCGCTGCTGTCGATTTCACCGTACGCCGCTGTCTTCTTCTTCTTCTTCTTCTGCTTCTTCCTCTTCTTCTTCTTCCTCTTCCTCTTCTTCCTCTTCTGCTTCTTCCTCTTCTTCCTCTTCCTCTTCATCTTCCCCTTCCTCTCCCTCTCCCTCTCCCTCTCCCTCTCCCTCTCCCTCTCCTTCTTCCTCTTCTTCTTCTTCTTCTTCTTCTTCTTCTTCTTCTTCTTCTTCTTCTTCTTCTTCTTCTTCTTCTTCTTCTTCTTCTTCTTCTTCTTCTTCTTCTTCTTCTTCTTCTTCTTCTTCTTCTTCTTCTTCTTCTTCTTCTTCTTCTTCTTCTTCTTCTTCTTCTTCTTCTTCTTCTTCTTCTTCTTCTTCTTCTTCTTCTTCTTCTTCTTCTTCTTCTTCTTCTTCTTCTTCTTCTTCTTCTTCATATTTTGGGTAAAAATGGCTGACATGACTGAATTATAAAAATGCAATTGATTCGTGAATAATATAAAAGACACATTAATAAGACTAAAACAGTTTTAAAATTCCAAAATATGACTGTCATATTTTTTTATTCCGAAAATATGAGTAATTACTGCCATGTTTGAAGTTTGGTACTACCAAAACATGACAGTAATTAGTTCTATATTGGGAATAAAAACATGACAGTCCTATTTTGGAATTTTCAAACCTTTTTAGTCCTATTTTGGTCAATATTCTCTAATATATAATTCAAAATGTGTCAACATTTGTAGTAGGACGGTGGGAGAACAACAATAAAGGTGGTTTTACTTTGGTCGAGGCCGTAGTGTAAACCACGTTCATCCCGTTTCATAACGTAACGGTTCAGGATCATTTAATAACTTACATCATCTTTTACAACTCGTTAATCGGCTAGATACAATTAAAGTTCGATCTGGTACGATTCCTTTTGAGCTTTTTGCCTGCCTCTAGTTTATAACTTAAAATACCTTCATACTTTTACAGCCAAGGAGACTGTTAGAGTTATTTATTAAAAAAACATAACAAGTGAAATGCAATTTATTTGTGAATAATATTGTTGGGATATATTACCCCGGCCTATTACTGTTCAGGAGCCCGAGCAGCTAGGTCCATTTCGGCCCATTCTGGCCCACTTTGGCCATTAGGCCCGACATCGGCCCGTTTGGCCCATTAGGGTGGAGAGCACCCTTCCCTTTCCCCTATAAATAGGAGGCTTCCCTCCATGTTTTGGGGATCCTCTTTTAGATTCATCTTCCTCCTTCTCTTAAACTTAGCTCAATACTCCATTAATGGGAGCTTGTACAATGTAATTGTGAGGAGAGTCCTAATGAGAAAGAGAGGGCTTGGACATTAGCCTAAAAAGTCCCGTGGTTTTCTCCCTTTCGGGTTTCCACGTAAAAACTGAGTTGTTCATACACATTTATACATATATTTACTATATCGTGTTGGATTAAACTCAACACTGGCGCCGTCTGTGGGAATCTGTCCAAAAAGATTCATGTATTCTACTGTTCTTGAGTTTCTACCGGAAAGATTCATACGAAGAACTGATTCTCAACAAAAAGAAAAAAGAAATTTGATACCAAATGCACTGATTTCCAACAAAGAAAGCGATTCTGAAAAGCAAAACAGGAGGAAGAAGACTCTGGGAAAAAAGAAGAGAAAATATGCTGGAAAAATGAATCTGAAGTCCAAATCTGGAATTTTTCAGATCTGGGTTGGGGTCACCGGAGCCGCCGCCGTCGTTCGTGCCGCCGTGAACCCTCCGGCGGGTTCAGAAGAACTAGAGGAAGCTCGCTGCAGCGTCCTGGGACCCGCCAAACCGTGTCTAGCACAACACCACCTGCGATGGAGTCGCCGCCCGTGGTTCGTTCGCAGTTGGCTCCACCAGCCACCGCCAGGGTCGCCAGACCACGGCTCGTCATCAGCGGTGAACCGCTTGCCAGTCTCCGTCCGAGCCTCCACCGGTCCGTTGATGCGAGCTAGAAGATCCGCGGTTGGGAATTTCTTGGGTTCCACCGTTAATGGTGGCTTGAATTTCAGGAAAAGTGTTTCGAAGCTGAGCCAATCCTCCACCGAAGACCAGTTTTCCCGGCCGCTCTGGCTCCTTTGCGGCCACCATCACCGTCGTGGGTCAACAGCCGATGTCTGCTGTCTTCTTGGTGTCGAGGGAGTGTTTATCTGCGGCTCCAAAAGATCCTCCTTACTTGGTTAAGGATTGACCACGTGTGAAGGACAAAAATGGGAGTTAGCAATAAAGATGAGTGGAGCACCATGCTTTATTTGAGAAGTCAACGCTTTGCAATTGCTTGATGCGGAGCTACCGAGATGAGCCCATGATTCCAGGCCATCTCACGAGAGCTAAGTATCACACGAACTTTCTCATTTACTAGTTAAAGTATTTTACTAATAGTATTATTTGCTATTAGATTTCTTATCACCATTATTTATTAGGGATTAAAACTCCCGAAATTAAATAATGAGAGCGATGCTCTAAGTGATAGTTAGTTTTCACCGTCATTTAAATTTAATGACTAATTGTTGTGGGCCCGTCGGCCCGCTCCTGATCGGCTTTAACTAGCGAACGGAGTATACTTGAATGGCCTTTGATAGGAAAATATCATTGCTATTACCTGTTACGCCACTACTATTTATTAGGGATAAAAATGTCCCGAATTAAATAATGTGGAGCGAAGCTCTAGTGATGGTTGGTTCAGCCAACGTTTTATTGGATATTTAATTTCTTGTGGGCCTGTTGGCCCACTCTCGATTAGCTTGATTAAGCAATCTGAGCGTCTCCAAAAGGGCGATGCCCTGACGACGCATTTTAATTTGGGGGTTACGCATTAGTCCGCACGGCACCAAGTACCCGAGCGACGATCGTACCCCACTGTCATCAACGCCATTAGGCGCGAAGTGACTATTGCCAGACGCGGCCTGTGGGGCCCGAGGGCACCAAAGCACTCAACCTCATTTTTCCGAGGGCAGTGCGACCAACTTGGGTCTGAGTTTGAAAACTCACAGACCGAAGAATATCTCCATGTGACGTTCGGCGGGCTGCTAATTGGCCCCGCCGCGAGCCGTTACGTCCATTAAACCCGCACGATGAGCCGGGCCGAGGGTCACGATAACCCATAGGCCGGTAATCGTGGATGTTAGAAAGAAAGCCATGCAGATGGTTATGTGTGCATATTTATTGTTAGGCCGTGCGGCCCGTTACCATGCTTATTGCGCAGCTGAAATCACTCGACACGCTCGAGCGAAATGATTAAAAGACGTTCGGCCCGAGTCTTGAAGACGTTCAGGGCCAGCTAAAGAGGAGACCATCATGGCTGAGGACCGTGAGACGAGCATCTCCACCCCAGAGACCGATGGCCTAGGAGAGAACACCTAGAGGCCGAGGGTTTAGAGTGGGCTGCCACGGCGAGGGACCGTGAGACGATCATCCACCATTCAGAGGCCAAGGGCCTAGAGGAGACCATCACGGCCGAGGGCCGTGAGACCATCCTGATTTTCAGGTCGGCCTCTCATTGCCGACATCATCATATCACGACCGGCCTCTTGGCATGGCGTGATTATCATATTTGAAGACCGGCCTCGTCCCCGCGCTGCGCGGATGAGGACCGTTGCTTGGTTCTTTCATGTCGGCCTCTCATTGCCGACACCATTACATCACGACCAGCCTCCTGGCTCGGCGTGCTTTCCATATTTGAAGACCGGCCTCGTCCCCGCACTGCGCGGATGAGAGCCGTTGCTGGATTGCAGATCGGCCCCTCATTGCCGACACTGCCACATCATGATCGGACGCTCATCGCCGACATCATCATATCACGACCGGCCTCTCGGCTCGGCGTGCTTTCCATATTTGAAGACCGGTTTCATCCCCGCTCCTCGCAGATGACGGCCGTTGCTTGTTTTCTCAGATCGGCCTCTCATTGCCGACACCATTATATCACGACCGGCCTCTCAGCGCGGCGTGATTATCATCTTCTGAAGACCGGCCTCGTCCCCGCGCTGCGCGGATGAAGACCGTTACTGGATTTCTTTCAGGTCGGCCTGTCATCGCCGACATCATTACATCACGACCGGCCTCTCGGACCGGCGTGATCATCACATTCGAAGACCGGCCTCGTCCCCGCCACCTCGCGGACGAGGGCCGTTGCTTGACCATATCTTGATCGGCATCTCATGGCCGACATTATCATACCACGACCGGCCCCTCGGCTCGACGTGTTCATCTTTTGAAGACCGGCCTCGTCCCCTCACCTTGCGGACGAGGACCGTTGCTTGGTTCTTTCAGGTCGGCCTATCATTGCCGACACCATTATATCACGACCGGCCTCCCGGCTCGGCGTGCTCATCTTTTGAAGACCGGCCTCGTCCCCGCCACCTCGCGGACGAGGACCGTTGTTTGATTCTTTCAGGTCGGCCTCTCACTGCCGACACTATCATGTTATGTTCGGCCTCTCGGCACGACATACTTATCTTTTGAAGACCGGTTTCATCCCCGCGCTGCGTTGGATGAGAGCCGTTGCTCGGATATATCGGCCTGACCTGGACACTATTGCCATCTCCTCATCAGGACCGACTGCTCAACGACATTATGATCATTGTGTATCGGCTCCCAATGCCGACCTTCTTGAGTTAGCGATCGGGCTCACCCCTCCCTTCAGGAGGGTGACCATCGCCTTCGCATGACGACCAGCGTCTCCATCGCCTCGTCATTATATTCGTTCGCTATGCCACCACCATTATGTGTGACATCCCGTGATCCCTGCGAGTTTCTTGGATACCGAATGTCTTCTTCGATGTAGGAAGATCGGTAGGACCACAGACCAGGGACGGACTAAGAAGAGCTAGGGAATCTCGATGTAGATAAACCTGTTCCTCCTTGCGAGTTTCGCGGATACCGAACGTCTCTTCGAAGCAAGAGCGCCGGTAGGACCAAGAACCAAGGACGAACGAAGAATATAGATTGCCTCCCTCAAACAAAAAAAAAAGAAAAAAGATGGGGAGAAGAGGAGGGTAGCTCCTATGTGGAAGGGAATCTTGCCCGGGCGTGCCAGATCTTCTCCCACCGCCGAAGGCGAACGCCTCTCGATGTAGAGGTTAGTAGAGACGCGGAGGGGGCTAGACGAACCAAGGGAGCTTGCCAAGATAAACCTGTTTATCCCACAAATGACCATGGATCGATGGACGTGGGATAACAAAGTCGGGAACCCGTGAGGGTAAACCTGTTCGTCCCTGCGAGTTCCTTGGGTACCGAACGTCTTCTTCGAAGCAAGAGACGCCGGTAAGACTAAAAGGACCACGGACGAACGAAAAAAGGGGGAATCTCGATGTAGATAAACCTGTTCCTCCTTGCGATGTTTGCGGATACCGAACGTCTCCTCGAAGTAGGGACGCCGGTAGGACCAAGGACCAAGGACGAACGAAGACTAAAAGACTCCAAAAAAAAAAAAAAAAAGAAATGCCAGAAGAGCACGGAGCAAAGAATGATTTTATCCCTCGGCGCTATTGGCCGGGAAGTACAAACTGAAAAACATATGTAAAGAATAATTACAAAACTTAAGTACGAAGAATGAAGTGGCCGACGGCGATCGGCTAACATCAGGTTTTCTTTTGCCTCGAACGACGATTAGCCCCCCAGATCAGGTAGAAAGGACATCGCCCAGATTTATTTCAGGCTCACCATTCCTTCCCGGATGGAGTCCTGGCAGACGATCGGCTTCTCACAGCCAATCAGGAGAGAGACTTGACACATCACCAGCACGGCCGAGGGCCGTGAGACGATTACCACTCACCGACAGGCCGAGGGCCATGAGATGATCATCACTATTTTTCTGTATCACGATCGGCCCCTCAGCGCCATCGTGTCTCTTTCACGTTCGGATCGCCCCATTCCCTCCAGGATGGCGACGAACGTCTTATGCATCACGATCGGCTTCTCAGCGCCATCGTGTCTCCTTCACGTTCGGATCGCCCCATTCCCTCCAGGATGGCGACGAACGTCTTATGCCGTACGATCGGCCCCTCAGCGCCATCGTACCTGGCTTCACGGTTCGGCTCGCCCATTCCCTCCAGGATGGCGACGACCGTCTTATGCATCACGATCGGCCCCTCAGCGCCATCGTGTCTCTTTCACGTTCGGATCGCCCCATTCCCTCCAGGATGGCGACGAACGTCTTATGCAGTACGATCGGCCCCTCAGCGCCATCGTACCTGGATTCACGGTTCGGCTCGCCCATTCCCTCCAGGATGGCGACGACCGTCTTATGCATCACGATCGGCTTCTCAGCGCCATCGTGTCTCTTTCACGTTCGGATCGCCCCATTCCCTCCAGGATGGCGACGAACGTCTTATGCCGTACGATCGGCCCCTCAGCGCCATCGTACCTGGCTTCACGGTTCGGCTCGCCCATTCCCTCCAGGATGGCGACGACCGTCTTATGCATCACGATCGGCCTCTCAGCGCCATCGTGTCTCTTTCACGTTCGGATCGCCCCATTCCCTCCAGGATGGCGACGAACGTCTTATGCCGTACGATCGGCCCCTCAGCGCCATCGTACCTGGCTTCACGGTTCGGCTCGCCCATTCCCTCCAGGATGGCGACGACCGTCTTATGCATCACGATCGGCCTCTCAGCGCCATCGTGTCTCTTTCACGTTCGGATCGCCCCATTCCCTCCAGGATGGCGACGAACGTCTTATGCCGTACGATCGGCCCCTCAGCGCCATCGTACCTGGCTTCACGGTTCGGCTCGCCCATTCCCTCCAGGATGGCGACGACCGTCTTATGCATCACGATCGGCCTCTCAGCGCCATCGTGTCTCTTTCACGTTCGGATCGCCCCATTCCCTCCACGATGGCGACGAACGTCTTATGCCGTACGATCGGCCCCTCAGCGCCATCGTACCTGGCTTCACGGTTCGGCTTGCCCATTCCCTCCAGGATGGCGACGACCGTCTTATGCATCACGATCAGCGTACCAGCGCCATCGTGTCTCTTTCACGTTCGGATCGCCCCATTCCCTCCAGGATGGCGACGAACGTCTTATGCCGTACGATCGGCCCCTCAGCGCCATCGTACCTGGCTTCACGGTTCGGCTCGCCCATTCCCTCCAGGATGGCGACGACCGTCTTATGCATCACGATCGGCCTCTCA